GAGTCATTATATTGTACTCTTTTTGTGTCCCACTTAACATGACTGTCACTTATCATTACAATTAAAAATGTAATCGGGATATAACTACATCGTAAAATATGTGTAAGCGAAACGCATAAATATCGGCGGGTAAAATTCATAATTACGACGCGTTGCGGTTTCATAATTAATAAAAGAAATAGATATTTCAGGTTACTAGGAATAAAACTCGCAAAGGGCCCGATTGCACTTATACATTTGTTCCACAGCGCGAACTTACGAAATTGAAATAACACAGTTGCTGGCTTCTTTTATTCGATATAATCGCCGATATCGAAAAGTAATAATTCACGTAACGCCACGTCGCAGAGTGTGAGATTATTTAATTTATCTATCACCGCGTCGCTGAAGGTGGCTCCAGAACGAAACGCACACGATCTATAACTGATAACGAATTGTTAATTGAATGTTACGTAACGTTTACGCGCAACTAATCGCGCTTGACTCTCGAAGCCCACTTTTTCCTTGTTGGCGGTTAATTTTTACGATTTACGATTCCAGGTGATCGAGAACAGCGGTTACGGTGCCGACAAATTTACTATGGTACGAAATAACGACGGCACAGGATCGTTGAAAATTGTGCAGTCGCTGGATTACGAGGACCAACTGCAGAGTAATGGCTTTAGGTTTAGGATACAAGTGAACGATAAGGTAAGAGAGAAATACAACAAGATACCACAAACTTTCAGATATTCTAATAAAAAATAACGAAACCGAATCCTACAAATGTTCCACTTAAGCTACATTTAATTTGTAAAACTTGCGATTAAATGTTTGCCTAAAAATTAATGCACTGATAAAGAAAATATCTTAATCCAAAAAATATGATTTTACTCAAGAAAATTATTTATTAGGTGGTTCCTAATAGCTTATTAACTTAAATTAAAAAATAATTCAGTAATTAAAACACGCATTGCTTTAATTTAAGTATTTACTAAAAATCAAAGAATAGATTATTTTAAATTTAAAAAATTTTATTTTAATTCTATAAAATGTTTACTAAGATGTAATTTTCACGGCGAAAAAAAAATTGGATTTCTTATTTGACAAAAGCAACTATTTCATTTAATAAACAGTATTTTATATCTCATGAAATCTTTATTTAAATGTGGAAAATGTAATGATTTAAATTAATTTAAGTTTTTCTTTTTCGAAAAAAATAATTTTTTCCCTGCTTATTTAAACTACGGAATTACTGAATGAAGGTAACTCGTCGTGCTCGCGTAACAATTTAATTATTTTCTCAGGGCGAGGACAATGACAACGACAAGTACCACGTAGCCTACTCCTGGGTGGTCGTGAAGCTGCGAGATATCAATGACAATCAGCCGCAATTCGAGAAAGCCAATATCGAGACTACCGTGCCGGAGAACGCTCGCATAGGCAGCAGCCTCGAAACATTCAGGGCCACCGATCCGGATCAGGGTGGCAAGAGCAAGGTCTCGTATTCCATCGACCGAAGCTCCGATCGAAAGAGACAGTTCTTCATCAATGAAAATGGCACCGTGTCGATACAGAGAAGCCTCGATCGCGAGGAAACTCCTCGGCACCAGGCAAGTTATACAATTGCCAGATATAGATTAATATAATAAAATTTGTTGGGTTTTAATTATTTTTAAATAATCATGATACAAGTTACAAGATTATTTGCAGTGGTAGCATTTAAAATTTTCTTAGCGCACAAATGAAAATAGATCGATGCAGCGTTAGAGTTGTTCAAACACGATGATCGGTTGTCTTAGGTCAAAATTTTGGCGATTGACGATGGAATACCACCGAAGACCGCGACAGCCACCCTTACAGTCGTTGTGCAGGACATTAATGACAATCCACCGAGATTCCTCAAGGACTATCGTCCAGTATTGCCGGAATACGCACAAACCAAGAAGGTCGTCGAGATTCTCGCTACCGATGACGATGACCGGTCGAGGAGCAACGGCCCCCCGTTCACTTTCCGAATGGATCCTAACGCGAACGATGTTATCAGAGCTAGTTTCAAAGTTGAGAGCGACAACAGTAAGTCTCGTCGATTCATAAATTTATCACAGCGTAAAAGGTCGCACTTTGAGGGAAGGTAATTCGCGAAACTTTCTCGCAGTATCATAATTCGTTTTAATCAATGACAAAGATCTGGTTGCACACTGAGAAAAATGTCCGATTAAATATAATCGGATAATCCAATTACATGATAACAAACGGATATATCCGATTAAATTGTATATCCGATGAAAAATTTGATCGGTTTTTCAATGAAATTTCATCGGTAATTGCATTTCATCGGATAAATTTCATCGGATATATCCATAATTTAATCGGAAAACGTAATCGGAAAAATTAACCATCGGACATACTATTTAATTGGTTTATCCGATGAAAATTTTTCTCAGTGCATACATAGACAGATGCATTGCGGGGTACAGTTTGTCACTCATGCTCTCATTACTTTTCAGAGGGGGCCAATGGGGACGGAATGGCCGTAGTGTCATCCTTACGATCGTTCGACAGGGAACAGCAAAAGGAATTCTTGATTCCTATCGTCATCAAGGATTCCGGGAACCCTTCGATGTCTGGGACCAGCACCTTGACGGTTATCATAGGGGACGTTAACGATAATAAAATGCAGCCTGGCTCCAAGGAAATCTTTGTATATAACTACGCAGTACGTATTCGCGTTATATTAAATTAGACAAGTTGCGTTACGTTACACCTCTGCATTTCTTTCGTGCTCAATGCGCCCTGAACGGCGAACCCAAACGGTTGCGTTGAAGCGAGGAAGCTTTGTGAATGAGGAAGCTTCCTTCCTCCTCGTGTATCAGGTTTAAAACCTGTTTTATCCAGTTCTCGTTCTGGTGCTTTGAGCATTTGGTTTCACTTCATCTTCGGTAGGCTGCTAACCTTGTCGAAGGAAACCTCCCATCTGAAGGGCAATACCCCTGAAGGGGTAAGATACTCTCGGTGGTTGCCACTTCCCTTCGGGAGATTCCGAAAAAACCAGCGGTGTCCGCGGATTTGAACTCGGATCTTCTCGTTCATTTGTTTACCAAGCAGCGCACATTTATCTCACCACTTTGTCAATGTAATTGAATGAATTTCCAGGGACAATCGCCGGATACGGAGATAGGTAGAGTGTACGTGTACGACCTGGACGACTGGGATCTGCCGGACAAGAAATTCTACTGGGAAGGGCTGGAGCACGCGCAATTTAGACTCGACGAGGACTCGGGGATGATCTATATGAAATCCGGCACGCACGACGGCAAGTATCATCTGCGGTTCAAGGTCTACGATCGGAAGCACACGCAGACGGATGTGCCCGCGAACGTGACCATCACCGTCAAGAGTATCCCGCACGAGGCGGTGTTAAATTCGGGCTCGGTTCGAATATCCGGGATAACGGACGAGGACTTCATTCGCGTCTGGAATTATCAGGTGAGAGTCTCTAAATCCCACTAAAAATATTATTGACGCGCGTACCGATACCTTTCCTAATATGAGACAGCGGGGTTTCTGCTGTAACAAATTAATTAATTTGTTGGTCCCACCGTGGATTTATTGCCCTCGGAGTGAAATCTGTTTGGTGGAAAATTCAATCGTTGCGAAAAAGATTCGATTGAATTTGGGACGTTGAAAATGTCCTAGTTCAGCGCTTACTTAAGAAAATGAATGTGTGCTCTTCAACTTTCCAAGAGATGTTTGTGATCTTTGTGGTTTGATTCACGGACGAATGCTATACGAGGTTCGCGTGGTTTTCAGAATCAAACTCTGTCGCGCAGCAAAGCGGATCTGTTTAGGGACAAGCTGTCGCATCTGTTGAACATAGACAGGGACAACGTAGATGTGTTCAGCGTCCAATTACGAAGAATGCATCCGCCGTTGACTGACGTCAGGTTTGCCGCGCACGGCTCCCTGTACTATAAACCGGTCAGGCTTAACGGCATTGTACTTATGCATCGCGAAGAGGTAAGTGAAAATGCAGTTGGAATATACTTGAAATACCTTGGACAAAATTGCGCTGGATCAAGAGCCGAGGTAAATGTCTGTTGCAACGTGTTAATTAACCATCTCGGACTGATAGATCGAGAAAGACGTGGGTATCAACATAACTATGGTCGGTATCGACGAGTGTTACTACGAGAACGAGATGTGCGAAGGCAGTTGCACGAACACCCTCGATATCAGCAACCTGCCGTACATGGTGAACGCGAACAGGACCGCCCTCGTTGGCGTACGCGTGGACGTGATAGCCGAGTGCACCTGCGGAGCGCGGAATTTCAGCAAGGGCGAGTCCTGCAGGAACAGCCCGTGCTACAACGGCGGACGCTGCGTGGAGGACCGATTTGGATTATCGTAAGTGAAATTCCAATTTAATTCCACACGTACTGCGAATTATATGCGCCAAGTTCGTCGACAAACAAGAATTTTGTCGCGCTTGCAAAGATAAAGGGAAATTTTGACGTTTGGCGTCTTAAGTAATTTCTGAGCCCATGTGTTTTGCAACTCTAGATGTCAATGTCCGTCTGGCTACAACGGCCCGAGGTGTCAGCAGACCGCGAGAAGTTTCCGAGGCAACGGCTGGGCATGGTATCCCGCTTTGGAAATGTGCGACAACAGCCACTTGAGCTTCGAGTTTATCACAAGAAAATCTGACGGACTGTTATTGTACAACGGTCCGATTGTCCCTCCCGAGGTCGACGAGATAATGGTTTCTGGTAAGATCTCCGAGCCTTCGAACTTCTACACTGGTTAACGCCGTATCGAGGGATTTTATCACGTTAAACTTGTTACCAGACTTCATTTCGGTCGAATTGGAGCGCGGTATACCGAGGCTGCTGATCGATTTCGGATCTGGCACTTTGGAGCTGAAGGTGAAACCAAAGAAAACCTTGGACGACGGCGAGTGGCATCGACTCGACATCTTCTGGAATACGGAGGTAAAAATATTGCGTTATTTATTTGCAAAACTTAGTATAAGATAAGCAAACGTGGCGTTTTAAAAACAAAGATCATAAATTACATCAATACGTAATATACGTATTCTCTATTAATCTCTATTAACGTTCATCAAAAAATTTTATTTCCCAACGAACTTTTTAACGAAATTCACGTTGTTCCTTTAGAAATGTTAAAACGTAACTTCTCACTCTTTCTTTGGCAATCACCATTTAAAGAATTTTTTGAACTGATCAGTCCTTTAAGCGCCGTATGTTATTTGTTCTATTCAGCTTTACTGAGGATGACCTGAAAATAGGGTCAAAACGTTTGGATATTTTAAATAAATTGATTTAAAAGTTTTACATTGGATAATTTCGCACGGAGACCTGCGGTTGGCTCGCATTGGCCTTTTCCCCCTACCTTAATAATTCTATTAACAAGGCCTATTCCGATCTTTCATCAGTGCAAAATAGTCCTAACGCGAGAATTGTCTACAGACTGTGAAGCTCATCATCGACTACTGCAAATCCGCGGAGATATCCGAGCTGGAGGACGGGAGCCCGCCGGAATTCAACGACACCAGCTGCCAGGCCACGGGCACGATACCGCCGTTCAACGAGTACCTGAACGTGAACGCACCGCTGCAGATCGGCGGTCTCTACGTAGAGCAATTCGACCCGACGCACTACAAGTGGAAGCACATGCCGGTGGGCAAGGGCTTCGACGGCTGCATCAAGAATCTCTTCCACAACAGCAAACTGTACGACCTCGCCCATCCGGGTCTCTCGCGGAACAGCGTCGCCGGCTGTCCGCAAACCGAGGAGATCTGCAACAATCAGGAGTCGACCTTCCGCTGCTGGGAACACGGCACTTGCGTCGGCAGCTTCACCGAGGCGAGGTGCCAGTGCAATCCCGGTTGGACCGGTCCCGGATGCATGACGCCGACGATACCGACCACCTTCAAGCCCCAGAGCTACGTCAAGTACGCCTTGTCCTTCGAGCCGGACAAGTACTCCACTCAGGTGCAACTGAGATTCCGCACCCGAGAAATCCACGGCGAGCTGTTCCGAGTGAGCGACCAGCACAATAGGGAATACGCCATTTTGGAGGTGAGTGTGACGCACTTTGAACCTTAATTATTGAAATTCATTCTCATTCAATGAACATTTCCCAGATTCTTTTACGAAACGGCCGCTAATTAGGCAATTATATTATTCGCTGTTTTCAAGTTGCAGCAACGATTGCAATTTCAAGCGTTTCAATTTTATTGCGTATTTCTCGCACGATTGCTGACTTCGCTTTCAGCAAAATACGCGTACAATAAAATATTTAATTATGCAAAATCTCATAGTTCACCCATCAAAGTCCCCTAGAAGCTTTAGAATTTCCTTTTAGAATTTTTTGAAGCGACTTTAAACGCATTCTCCAGACTCCCAAAATTCGTTCCACGTGTACAACTTTGATTGAGAAGAGAAGGACTATCTGAAACATCTATTCGTTATAATTTCAGATCAAGGACAGCAGACTGCACTTCAGGTACAATCTGAACAGTCTTAGGACGGAAGAACGAGACATCTGGCTGTCGGCAATAGCCGTCGATGACGGGCAGTGGCACACAGTTAGAGTTTCGAGATACGGATCCGCCGCGACTTTGGAACTGGACGGTGGCGAAGGACGGAGATTCAACGAGACCTTCTCTTTCGAGGGCCACCAATGGCTCCTCGTGGACAAGCAGGAGGGTGTCTACGCGGGTGGCAAAGCGGAATACACTGGCGTCCGCACATTCGAAGTTTACGCGGATTATCAGAAAGGTAACTTGAAACTCGCTTCACGAATAAAATACAAACGCGCCTTTGCAGTGACTTTAAATGATTTCTTCCCATTTGCTTACTTACATGATCGAAGAAAACGCATTCTGCATAATTTTGAATTATATTTTCTCTTAAAATTTACCCCGAAAATCATGCAATTGTGGGACAGCGTGGCATTTTGAAGAACTATATGAGAGTTTTTTTGGAAATTTTACTATATATCCTAGTGACATGTATGGTAAAGTTTCAAAAAGCTCTCATAAAATTCTTTGAAATGCCGCGTTGTCCCGCGATCACACAATTTTCGGGATAAATTTTAAGAGAAACTTCTCTCCGTGTATCTTGAATCTTTTACGGAGATAAAGCTATATAATTTTGAATAAAAAAAATGCTAGGTTGTCTGGACGACATAAGATTGGAGGGCAAACATCTTCCACTGCCACCCGCCATGAACGGAACTCAATGGGGCCAAGCGACGATGGCGCGAAACTTGGAAAGGAATTGTCCGTCGAACAAACCGTGTGCCAACGTGATTTGTCAAGATCCTTTCGAGTGCATCGACCTCTGGAACGAGTACGACTGCACGTAGGTGTCATTGTTGCGACTTCATTTATCTCTGAGACAATCGATATGCCATGACGTTTTTCATCGCAGCTGCGGGGAGGGGAGAATCCCGTCACCGGATAACAAAGGGTGCATGGATAAAAACGAGTGCATTGACTATCCCTGCCTGAACGGTGGCAGGTGTATCAATCAGGACCCGCGATTCCGGTACCGATGCATTTGCCCCGACGGCTTCTGGGGCGAGAACTGCGAGCTGGTCCAAGAGGGCCAGACGCTCAAGCTGAGCATGGGCGCGCTGGCGGCGATTCTCGTGTGTCTTTTGATCATCCTCGGTGAGTAAATGCAAATCGAGGCGCGTAAATGTGTATAATTTGACACGCATGCTTTCCTTTCTATCGCGTCCCTTGCGTATTACTGTACATCTTTTCACTTTACGTTTCTCTAAGCACGTTTAATTATGTTTCAGTTCTTATTTTTGTGGCAACCGAATGATCGACCGAACAATAAAACGAGTTCGACGAAAGCTTATGTCTCTTGATTTCACTTTCCCTTTTTACATACTCTTTTTTTTCCACTTCCTCCGTGTGTCTGCTTTAATTGTCTTCACAGCGCGCTTTGCATTAAACGCTAATGAAAGCTGCATATTTAAGATCGCACAATATCTCCTAAGTAATAAGCTTTCGTTTCGACACGGATGTTCCGAGACTGACAAGACTTGACACCTGTTTCGTACATTGCAATATCGTAGTTGCCGCCGTGGATTTTGTTGCACCTTGCACTTTCTTGAACTCTCAGCAGAGAAGTATTACCTACGATATATTGATGGACGAGGCTCGTTCGACGCGGACAAACGCGAATTAATTCCATTAATATCAAAATTGCAGTCCTCGTGCTGGTGTTCGTCGTCTACAACAGAAGACGAGAGGCGCACATAAAGTATCCCGGGCCGGACGACGACGTGAGGGAAAACATCATCAACTACGACGACGAGGGCGGCGGAGAGGACGACATGACCGCGTTCGATATCACGCCTCTGCAGATCCCGATCGGTGGCCCGATACCGGAAATGGGTGGCAAGCTGCCCCCGTGTAAAGTAGCCTGTACGTTACATCTCTCGATTGCGAGGCGACGATCACGCCGAGCCGAGAAAATAATCCAAGCGTCGTGTTCTCAGATCCACTCGGCCCGGAACCGAACGTCGGCGTCTTCATCGAGGACCACAAGAAGAGGGCCGATAGCGATCCAAACGCACCGCCCTTCGACGATTTGCGGAATTACGCGTACGAAGGTGGCGGAAGCACCGCGGGTTCCCTGGAGTCATTAGCCTCCGGTACGTAAAAAGGAGAATTTTCGAGACACTTCGCATTTTATATGCCGCGTTAAAGAAAGTGTTGTTGCACACATTTTTCAGAAGTGCGCAAACTTTCCTTTTCAACATTGCTCTCGCGAAAACTTTTTGCGAAAGCTCGGCTGCTCGCACTAGCGCGTTAAGGCTTGTTTACGGCCAATTCTTATATTTAAGGATCTTAAATGTCTCTCGAAGCATTTCTTAGCCAGTAAAACGATGAGTACAGCATCCGCACGGGTCATTTCTTTTGGCTAAATATTTTTTGAAGGTGTACTTAAGACAAAGTTGAATATAAGAATTGACTGTAGACAAGCCTCGCGTTCACAACGCTAGAACTTGGTCCAAGTAATAATCGAAACTACGTGGATGTAAGAGCGCACGAATCGTAGATTAATCGTGCATAATTAATGACGATTACGTTTCCGACGTAAAGGGACAAGTCTCTTAAGGGTTGCAGCGCAAAAGTCAAAACTACTCCAGTATAAGAGCGCATAGATCGTAGATTAATCATGCATAATTGTTCGAAAGATCCCTTTTACTTTAACAATTAACCAGAAAATGAAAAGCCTTAGTGTGCACCGAGCGCGCGCTAATGCAAGCAACCGAATTCGCTGGTACTCTCCCTCGCCTTAATAAATAATATGACTACCGTATTACCATTCGTACACACAGAAAAATATATACTACCTGCAAGTAAATATTAATTGTTCCAAGTATTTGATAAGTTTATATTTCCGCAAATCTATCATAATGTCGTCGCAAGTGTGATATTTACTCAAAACATATTCTGGTTCTTAGTAAGTCTAGTACTTGAAACAAGAATACATAGAATTATTTGAAGCAAAACAATTTTGTTTCTTCTGACTTTATTAAAAGAAGCATACGGAGTTCTTCCATAAGTTTTCTAATTTTCTTCAAAGAATAAATTCTTTCTTTGAGTATAAGATGGCAAGCTTTTCTAAGACTAGTAACAAGTATATCTTAAAACTATTATTAAGAAAATATTCTTTGTTGGAGCAAACTATTACTTAAACGGAATAAAATAAACTGAGTAATTACTTTTCTTGACTGTACAATAATATTTTTCTGTGTGTATTAACGAGCGAGTTACCGCTCAAGTCTCCCTGTCATCCAATGAGCATTTTTCTAATCCTAGGCACGGACGACGAGCAACACGAGTACGAATACCTAGGCGCCTGGGGCCCGAGATTCGACAAGCTGGCCGATATGTACGGTCCCGCGGAGGAGAGCGAGGAGGAGGAATAATCAGCCGTACGTGCGGCCGAGTCTCCACATCACGTCGCATGCGAGTAGCGCGAGCCGCATCGTCCGAACGGGGTTGTACTCGCGAGGCCTCGAGCGAGACGGCCGACGGGGATCGCTCGTCGCGAACGTTCTCGGAGGATGATCTCGAGAGGGTGAAGACAAAGAGCGCGCGCGCGCGCGTCTCCCCCTCGCCGAGAGCGACGAGTCGCCCCGAACGAGGGACCCGCTTCCTCCGCGGTGGTGCAGCCAGTGAAAGTAACTAATCACACGTGATGTCGCGCGCACCCGCGTGTCAACGGACTCACGCACGTACTCGGGGGTGCATAAAGGAACGTTGCAATAGCGCGACGGTAGGGGGTAGAAAGCGAGAAGAGTCGGGGGAAGAGTCGCAGCATATTACCTATCTGTATAGTACGTTATACGTAGTGAAATATCCAGAGACACGCGACGAGACTTTTTCTAACGTGGTTCCCTCCCCCTCCCCCTCCCCACCTCCTCCTCCTCCTCCTCCTCCTCCTCCTCCCAACATCGATTCCGCTCATCGGTTCACCGTCGGCAAAAATCACCCGTGCGTACACCTATGTATACATATATACGTGTAGGTATAATATCGCGTCGTTGTCGTCAGTGTCGGATCTTAGATCGGCGTTTCGTCCTCGCGCAGCCGGGATCTCGTTCGTTTGTTTTAATCGTCGCGAATCGCGGGCGGACGTGTTAGATGTGTTGTAACGATTTAATCAAGGGCATTCACGTACATTCAGACACACATATATTCATGTACACGCGTATACGTTGACACGACACCCGGCATGATTCAGAGTCGTCGTCGTCGTCGTCGTTGGCGGCGGCTGCGGCGATCCTTCGTTTCTTCGTTCTCCTGCACGAACGTCCCTCGCGGGAGGGGGCGTGCATCCCCCGACGGGCGTACATTTCGTTGTCCTGAATGCGGAGGAGTCCTGGAAACAACGCACTCTCGTTCATGACGGACGATCCTACCGTTAGATAGTCTGCCATAATAGGAGTTTATCGTTAAGGTATCGTTAGTTGCCGCGACGCCGGCTGATCGTTGGTCGTCGCGACGCATGGTATGGTCATCGTCACTGCAATCCTCATTACCGATAGCATTACACTATTAAATATTATAATATATTATATAAATATATTATAAATATGGATTTATATAGAGGCGCACGAGGGGGGTGGAAAGTGATTTTAACGGAGACGAGTCCGCGAAGGACGGGAGAGCATGAGTTACCGCGCGCGAGCAGTGTAATTATTATAATTACGGTATAGCGGACGTAAAGTCTAAATATAAATACAAATATAAATATATATATATATAAATACAAATATATATTATGCATATACATACAAACAGAGAAAACACGTACGAACATACAGACAACACAGAGAGCAAGGGAGAGATGAGATTCGCATTCGCAAAAATATGCTCACCGTTGATATATCTCGATATAGTTTTAATATTTATTTTACGTCATCTCTCAAGGGAGATCGGAGCGCGAGGAGCACGGCACGGGGTGTATGGGGTACGCGTGCACGAGGAGCCGCGGGGAGAGAGAGAGAGAGAGACGTGGCAGGATTCCGTTCTAGTCATCCCGAATGGCTCGTCGACGCGTCGTTTCTACGTGGACGAAATTTCTCTGCCGCTTTTCCGAACTGGCAGTTGCCCTGCCGGAAATAATTCTACAAAATTCTACAAAACCATAAAATTCTATACAGCACGCATGTCTAAAAGACGACTTGAAGATGACTTAAAGATGTCTTTTAGAGACATGCGTGCTGTACGGGACATAAACTGCCAGGATCTAAGAAATTCTGCGTAGATTTAAAACGTGCTTTAAAAATCAACATGAAACCGCTAGAATTGGAACACTTTTGTAAATTTTTGTAATATTCCACAGGCAGATGTTTTAATTCTTAGAGATTTTGTTGTTTCTCAAATTTTTAAAAATAGTTTTGTACTCGTTTTGACAAAATTGTAAATTTTCATGAAATACTACTTGCAATAATTTCTGATTTGAGAAGATTGTAATTTGTGGTACTATTTCGTAGATATTTTTACAAAGAAATTAATGTTTCAACGAAGATATAAAAGTTTCTACATATTTCTATTTCAAGTCAATTTTTGTAATCATTTATAGAAATTCTTTCCGCTGGGGTACGTGCATTAAACTTACGAGGTGTTTAGGGCCCGGTTTCCAACGTCGCTCAACTTTAGGCTCAGCTTAATTCGTTCTTTGTCCCTTTCCAACTGTTACTCCAGAAAGAGACAAACGTGAATTAAACTACGCCCAGAAGAAAGATGTGTTTCATACGTTGAAATCACGTTTCGTTCTTTGAATCTGCTAAATTTTTATTTGCTTCTCCTAAAACACACGATAGATTTAAAGACATAGTGAATTCTCTTAGAGGCTCCAGTCTCGATCAAATAAAGTTTTGGTTAAGGTGAAGAAATCATTTCTTTGAAATTACTCGAAGAAAATCTGTTTGATTTCACTTTTTTTCTGGGCGCAAGATTAAAGTTAGTCAGCGTCTGGTGAAATCGGGTCTAAGATTTATCGAAAATTCCTACGAGTCTCCGGCGACTCGCTGGAGGCTCTTTCTGCCCAAGTGCATCAGCGAACGAGGAGGCGAATCCAGTTTGATTATAAAAGAGATTGCTATAAAAGAATCAGACGAGAACGACGTCGATATTCCTAAACCAGACGTGAATTAACTGACGGCTAAGGGAGAAAGATATTTTATACAGAAGAAGATGATCGTTAAAAGTAGTTGAATCGCGGATTTTACCAAGGGGAATCCTGAAGATCCCTCGCGATCCAACGCGAAATGAGGCTCGACGAGCCTTTCGACACCTCTCGGCGCCACGTGCACGCGCGATTATACCGTCGCGCCTTTCGCGGGAGAAACTTTCCACGCACCGAGCCCCGACTGAACCTGTAAAATTCTCAACGGGAATATTAATAGTCAATTTACTGGTTAGGGAGAGAAAGAGAGAGAGAAAGAGAGGCCGAAGGGAAAAGGCGTTTAGGAGTATGTCGTAAGCACTTGTACGAATATTGTAATTAACATGTGTATGAGTGTGCCGGCGCGCGCAGTATTTGCGTCACTGCGCATCGCCGTATAATTGTCCTACCAATGATCGTGTTTGCGTATGGTTTTTCAACGAATTTGTGATATTAAGTTGCGTATATCTACTGCAGTACACGTCCCCGCGTACAATCGTCGTTCCTCGAAGACCCGCGAGCACCGAGAGCGACTCTCGCCGGAGGCAAAAGTCTTAGAATCCGCCCGAAGAAATCCCGAAGACCATTCGCAGGCCGCGATATTTCCTGGACGTTTTTACCCTGAATTTACAGTAATTGCTCTCCGCGACGACGACGGTCGCCGCAGCGATGGTTGTCGAAATAAGTCTAATTCGATGCTAAATTGTCGAGCGGGAAATTTTTAAGGGTAGAAATAAATCTCTTCGAACTACAACGAATGTCCGACGTAATTTGATCATCGCATTATGGGGGCAGCAATAATCTTACCTCAAGCAATAAGTTCAGTAGCAATAGGCGCGGTTCTGTTTTGAGCTTTTCAATCGCCTTGTTTGCGCGTTCGCCGTTCAATTTGGCGATTGCCAATTGAACCGTTTCACCGCGAGAAATGCCAGAAAGGACGTACCTTTCCTGCAAAATTAAAAACCATTGAAGCGATCTTCAAGGTAATAGCTTACTGGGGAAGCTTGAGAAAGTCTGTGAAAATTATTTTTTTATTTTATCGAAATTGCGGTCGATTACGAGTCTACATTTGTAGGCTCATGTGACGATGACATGAATCTCATTGTAAGTGAAATCATGCTCTCTCGGTGCCCGCACGTCGAATTCATCGAAGCCCATTGTTCATCCTAGGCCCCTTAGTTTCTCCAGACATTCCCATCATCCACCCGTCAAGTAGATTCTAAGCAGAGACAGTATTTGAATGGTGTTATTGGAGGACGAAAGAATTATCGTTAAGTAACTGTATTGAGTAGCGCGCGAGCGCGCGTCGCGTGTGTGCAGTGGCAAAAAAAAAAACAACAAACACAGAAAGACAGCCTAATTACATGCGAGTGTCGATGGGGCGCGATCGATCGTTCATTTAAGATCGTTCATTTCTCGAGCATCGAGGAAAAAGAAATTCGTACTCGTGACTTAAATGCGATTACAACTGATATTTACTTATCTTATTCTTAAGAAACGGATCGACTAATTAATTCGCAGAAATTGTCCAGCTCGAGTTAAAAATTAATTTCAACCGCGTCTAAGTTGACTGAATTGACGACGAGAAAGTTTGCACTTTTGTGGCTGTCCAGAATTGATGCACAAGAACGGTTGATCGTGCATCTGTACATCGACGAGGCTCGAAGACTCTTCCATTCGCTCGACCCGTGCACCTCGATCGTTTTATGTAGGAACTTTTTAAGAAGCGTGTGGGCGCGCTCATAAAACGCGTGGGCCGAAGCAAACATGAAGCGCGGAATTGAAAAGTCCGAAATCGATGGAATGCAGAGATTAAAACCGATATCCTCGATATTTTACGGTAAGATACCGGAAACGGATGTCTATGAAGAGATTTTGAAGATCAGCATTTCCTTTAAATGCCCTACGATCTTTCTGAAGTCTTCACGCATCCTTTAAATACTTCGAATAGCTCAGCTATATTTGTAATAAACGCAAATTCCGATGGGCACGCAAAAGCAATCTATCATTATACTATATCAAATTAATGTGTACTATTCAAGATTATAATTCATAAACTTAGACTGTTATTCGTAAAACTTTACATTCTTCTTTTATACTTGGAACACCGGAAACCTAACTTAGTTATATCGGTTTCAATTTTTGCGTGAGATCCAGACATCAATGAGCAAATCAGGCGAACAGAGAATCCGCGAGACTGTCGCTCAAGAAAGATGCTCACGGCGATTTCATTTGCGAACGACTGATTTCAATCGTACTTACATTTAACGAACTATATCGAAAATTTCTGACGAAAGAGACGCGAGTCGCTAGAAGAAATATCGAACAGACGAGCAATGCATTCGGCAAAAGAACGTACGAGCTGTTCGAGGGAGGGGAAACTAAAATAAACGGCACGTTCCTTAAATCCATTCCAACACAATTGTTGCGATTAATATAATTAATATTAAAAGATTCGGCTCAAGGTCATTTGTCGTTGTTAAATTAGATTAGTCTGTATGCTCGCTTAGTTTGTGCGTGTAATCCTAAAAATTGGCGCTATGATCGAAGGCAAGTAAGTTCGAATGTCCGTCTCGTAATACGGGAATTTACCATCTAAGTGCGTACTTACGGAATCTTTTGAAAGGATCTCATTTTACATTACATTTCCCGCGACCGGGGCTCGCCCCTCGACGCTGCTGGTCGCAGAATGAATACATTATGCTCATCCTACATATCCCCAACTTTTTCTGAGCACTGCCTAATACATTTGGTAAATGGGGTACTATAGGGCCGAGCGCGAGCAAACTCGCACATAATTAACATAACCGAATTCCGTTCAGTCGAATTAAAGAAGAAGAGGAGAGATAGACGAGAGGGAAGGGGGCGAAGGGAGAAAACGACGTGGTCCGCTTCATCGCATCTTACGAAAGACAATAAAGAACACCTCCCGCTTTCAACAGACTGGCTCTTTCGTTTCACAGCTGGCTCCACAAATAAAGTTTTACTCGCTGCGAAAAGGGCGTTTTTATATGAAACGAAAACGTTATTGAGTAACACGTAGGCTATTGGATTAGAATAATGCAATTTGTTAGAAATTGTGCAATATCGGATTCCACTACAAAGGAAATCAGTTCAAAGATTTTTTTTTACTAAAATATATCGCGACGCTAAAGACTGAAGAGTCAAGATGCGAACCTCGGAAAACAATCTTCGCAATTTAGAGTAATTTAATACTTGGGAGAGGTGTTCTTTTCATGTCGTGGATCAAGGTTCTTTCGTAGCGAAGTACAATTAATGGTCGTAAAAAAAAAAGAAACGTAAGACGGATTTATTACAAAGAGAAACGGCTTTATCTGTCGGTCGACGAAAAGAAAGAAAGATCACTGTAAGATATACATATTATTACATAATGTAACGCTGCCACTGAACACATCCCGTTAGTACAATTACCGTATATAATAATAATAATAATAACATTAATAATCCGCTGTATACTGGGACACACCGTATTATTAATTGAATTGATATTTATTATCGATTATAATTATTATATTATTACCACTATATTATCTATACCATTTGTACTTTACACTTCAGTTCGAACGAAATAAATGCCTTCTTTTTCATAAAACCATCGACGAGATGACAAAGGTGCGTACTTCAATTGTGAATTGAATCGATCCCTTTGCGTCGAAATGCCAACACCGAGAAAATTATATTCTCTTCTTGCGAGCAATCTTTACGAAGATTTCGAATTTTAAACGAGTCCAATTTCTTCCATGCCGCGAATTTGGATCTTCGGCATCGCTAAAAACTCTATCTCTGGCGATTGTTTACGCGATTTTTGCTACGGCCGTTTCTGCGATTATTGTAACGATGCTTAGTTTCCTTGCTGTTCTTAATTTCTGGAAACTCGCTCCGTACACGCTGCCAAAATTTCGTTCCCGAACGCGACAGGAAATACGTCACTCCGTTATCCCTGAATTTTCAATTAATTTATACATGCTTTTAACTCATACGAATCATTGTAGAAGTCGCCTGGTTAGAAATGGCACAGGTCAAAATTTAACATCTTCAATAAACGCGGTATTGTTCAACTCGGTCGTTTTTAAATGGACAGATCTTGCTGTTGTCAGAGCAAAATTCTTTGTCGATTATAAGATATAACTATTACGCACTCACGTTAGATCTTTGAAGTCGACAGCTCTTGTAACGTGAAGAGTAAGCAGAAAGATCATTGTCGCTAGTCCACTCGTGAGAATCGGCATAGATGATTTAATCATATGAGACATTCGAACTGTATTCCCCAATTTTAATTGCTCGAGTGTCTGCTCAAATTAGCTTTCATTAGTGAGCATAAGTTATTAAAATTATACGCTATTATAATATTAAAAATGAACCAAGTGGATAGGCAAATCGTTACGTTACCAGAAAAACTTTCCTTGGCAGCGTGCTTAAGATAAATACGTCTATCGGTGTCCATATACACGCGATTGTAAATTCCAGGAAGAATGCGGTTACTAGAAACTAGAATTGAAGGTAAAGAGAGGGAGAGAAAGTATAGTTGTATTGAAATAAAGGGAACAAAGTGATTAAATAGGGGATTTAGCGGCACACTAACCTCGTACAAACACATCAAAGCAGGTGTCGGCTGCCGAAACGATTGTGGGAAAATGGTGGAATTCATGACGATAACGTAGACACTTGATGCGATTAAGAAAGAAGTGACCGGCGGACTTGATATCAGAGGATAACCGTACTCGTCTTCCATAGCGTTGGCGAAACACGTTTGAAAAATCGATATCTTTAAACTCTTCAGTATTAACGCCCATATTGTACACGATAATCGCGTCATTTTGGAAAACTAATTAATAGCAATTTAGTCATTCAGATTTAACGTACAGATCGCTAATTATGAGAAAAGAGAAGACATTTTTAATGACATCTGCTATGAAGTTAGTTCCAGCTTGTCTACAATAATTTTATCAAAATTGATAATTTCTACAAAATCCCTTCTTCCTCTTTAAAATAAAATTAATAAAATAGCAAATTTCTGTGCAAAACGCAACGTCGATGATTAAAGTAACAATAATTTTAGAAAATATTACAAGAACAGATATTTATTGAACACATACAAGGGCATATAAAAATGTAACAGATTAGAAACTGTAACGTCGAAAATTTATCGCGAAAGGATTCATTTGACAAAGTCTATAAAAGAATGATTGAGTCACTTCAGGATTGCTGAAGGTAATCCTCCTGTTTTTGCGTTTACGTCGACGTCTTGGCTTTGTGAACTGTAAACGTCTTTCAAAAAACAAAAGGAATCCTTATTAGATTACAATCATATAATTAAAGCATTTAATTAATTAATCTTAAGTTAATTAATAAAATATTTTTTATTTATTTATTTATGTTAATTTCATTTCTATTCCATTTGTGTGTAGGAACATAGAGGGACATAAATTAAATTACTCGAGGCTTTAAGCAAACACGAAAAGTTTACGATTGATATTTCGCAACTAGCAAAGGCTATTTAAATAAGGAATTCTGTGGAGAAATTGTTAAGTGATAAATGGTTTTGTTATAAACTTTATTTAAGAAATTTAAATTTTGCATGACGCTTAATCCGGCAACAAGATATCTTTTTATTAGAAATTGTATACGTTTAAGAATGGATGGACGAATTGCTTCGTAATTTTATTACATGCCGAACAATTTTGCGGATAAGATTTTCAAGTTTTCAGGATTCACTACTTGCTCCACGTATCCAGAAACGTGTCCAGAGATTCAGTGGCGTCCAGCATCCATACAAACGACAATAATGACATGCAAAAAGCCATGTATGTGGCTGCGTAGTCTGTAGCCATGTACTCCGCAAAGATGTATAACCAAGAGTAACTATCTAGGCCCATGGCATCGTTCAACCACACCAACTAAAAGGAAACGAGTGTTTCAAGTTTTGAAGCTTCTGTAAATCGAAAGTCCCGTATTTCGAGCGGCAAAAATTTAATAGAATTTCATCATTAAAATTCGTCAACGATAATTAGCCTTCGGAAGGAGGGATTTAAAAAGATATTGAACAAAGTAAATCCGAGGAAAATATAGCGGCGCGCCATATTTTTATTTGTCAATCAAATACTACGTACCCACTTACTGGATTCTTGAGTTAGACAGAAAATTGCATGCATCATTGGAGTCCATACCATTTGGATCGCTAAATTTGTACTCAATGCAGCTACTAACATCTAATATGACCAAATTAATTTCAAATCGACATTATTTTCCAATTTCATATTATCTTGCGAGCAGAATACTTTTATTCTACTCATTAAATTAATCTGATAACTTTACATTTTACATTTTATTTTCCTACGTACTTAGCGAAAAAGACGCTGCGTGAAAACGCTGTTCCTTTAAATTTAGATCAGCTTTAAAGGATTTACTAAATGTTGACTGTAGGACTCACTTCGTAAATGTATAGTAGCTGAATTGGTGGCTCTTTCAGTGTTACAGGCCATAGTCTGTATTCCGCTATTAGACATAAAACCGAGAACACAAAGAGTACCGACGCGTACGATGGATCAAAAGGCAAAAAGCTTTCCTCCTCGAAACACAGACCGATTATGCAGATCTGTCGCAAATGCGTATACAACCCTGTCGCCACTATGGTGATCCAGTGAGGATCTATGTAATTCGCGTAGTATCTCACGGTCTCCATCTCGAGTTAGCACGCGACAATCCTTTTGAGAGAGCCTTTCAAAAAAATTTCGTTTTCTATTTATGCGCCGTTTGTTTCGTGATGATTTCACTATGATTTCAGATCAAAATGGCAAGATGAATTAGCTAAACCTAGAGGAAACATTTTTTTAGAAGCCATTTCAAAAAGTAATAATTTTCTTTTATTTTTATTTGTACTTCTATTAATTAATTTTAATTGCGCTGCTTATCTGTGCTGTCAAACGTAACGCAGAAAAACATTCCAATACGCATTGATTAGTAACGGATCAAAGAAAGAGGTAAACTACGTTAACACAGAATTTGTTTATCAAGATTTTAATCGTTTGTTAAATTATTTTATTATAGCAAACCTCGCATCGTGATGCAAACGTTGTTGTGAAAGGACGATTTTACAGAGTTCCGTAGTTCTTCGTAAGATTAAATGCGGAAATCTTTGGTTAACATTTCATTTTTAACATTAACGATAGTGACAGATATACGAGTGCTTGATATCTTTTGTATCTTCGGTGAATTTTTTTCAACATTAAATGCTGACGCAGATAACTGTAACTCTCGATCCGACCGTTAATTTATCATTGCACTATTATTATCTCGATGTTCACACATTGAATATTTAGGTTATAAGACTGCCCTGTTATGCTGCAAACATCAAGACCTTCTTGCATCTGTTTAACAGGGTATTTAGTTTTTTTACAAAAATTATCATTGTTAATTAATCATCTTGCGATTCTATCTCTCTTATCAAAGCAGAAACTTTAATTCTTTACTGCCAGATTCATTTACTTCACTTAAACGTTTATCTTCCTTCATATATAAAAGTGGTAATCAAAATTTAATAGCATACAAAATTTAGCTTGTCAGTCTAAATATAATCGCAATCATTCCTATAGTTGCGAAAATTAACTCAAATTTTTTATTAAAAGTACATTTAATCAAACAAGTTGCGATTTCGATAATTTTCGGTCCCAAAGAACTTTTAAAGCAATTTGTCATATAAACCACACACATTTTTATACTTGTATGTGTATTAATATTTTTGGAAACATTGTATTATTAAGATTTTAAACTTTAAAATTATATTTAAGAAATCCACTTTTGCTTTTCAAGGTAAATGTTTCTCCTCAATAATCTTCACATTAATTTCACTTATTTAATAATAAAGCGTGATTTGCTGTCGATACGATCATTAAATATTCTAACAATCATTTTTTATATGCTCTCTTCCCTTAACGCTAGCAATGCTCTTAACTCGGAATTCCAAAGTATATACGAGAAGTCGACTTTATTATTCAGCACCATTCGTTTTCTTAACAGCTACTAGGAAGCTATCGCTAAATGCAATGCATTATGTATGAAAGCGAAATACGAGTCCCATTGTTTTGGAAAGTCCAGCTGTCAGATGAAAGTGGTGGATATAGCAAAGAAAAACGGCTGCTTCTTTTTCAAAAGGTTCAACAAAATGTTAGATCAATAGCGGTAGAAATGTCATTATACATATCTGAGGAAAAAATTAACTGTAATGCAAAATGAATCTATATTTATCTAAACACATTAGTGCAATATTAATATATTAATTACAATGCTCTATATATTTCTTTTATTGTTGCATTTTATAAAATAAAAATGAAACTTTAATTTGGTATTGCGCCATAATTACAATTTTAACTTGTGCACTTAAATTTTAATACTTGCATTTTAATTGGAACACATAGGCACATATGTATTTTAATTAAAGTTATCAATAAATATTAATTACCCTAGCATTATTAGTGACGAGTACTGCTTATGAAAGTGGCTGCAATACATAATTTAAGCTTTCATGTAAGCGAGAAGCAACTTTCTGAATTCTTTTCAAACGAACAAACGTCTTCTTTTTGTGCAGAGTTGCTTTTCCTAATGATATTTCTCATTTTCGCCTGCGGATTCTTTTACAGCATCTTCAATTAATGAACTTTTAATTCCTTAAAGTACATAAGCGGATAATGTTTATCCGCAAGAAATTAGCGGTTTTCACTCGAAATGAAGAACGGGGAGGATTAGTCGAAAATAAATCAATCGAGAGTCTGAAAAGAAAGGAGACGTGGACAAGAGTATTCCATTAACCGGCAACACTGAGTTCTGGGTCACATCAAAGCACTTGTGTTACGTAATTCAAAAGGGAAGCTTGTGAGAATTAAAGAATTTCTTCCAATTACACGTGGCAAATCGCTTCGACTTTTCTCTTACGAATATCAGAGATGGAAAATGTAAGGGGCTATAAATAAGTGGTAAAGTAGCCATATTACGTCTCCGACAATAGCTGAGGATTCAATGTTGGAGCTCGTCGCTGCTTCCACAGACACGGTATGCTCGAATAACTTCAGAGCCGGCACTCAACTAGGTAAAGAGCGCCAGGAAATTGCCGTCTCTTCAATCCAACCTCTCTTTTGTCTGCTCCTTATGCAGTTGACAATTTCGTTACGCGTACATGCGGATTACAGTTAAAGGATGACGAGATCATCATTGGATAAGGAAAGCTATGATTTCCCACAAAAGGAGAAAATTCTGAATAAAATCACACGTCTAATTCCTTCCAAAATCACCTTTTCCTTTTACATTCAAGATAAATTGAGCAGATTTTACTATCGAGAGTCCGTGCGTATTAAATCTTCTCTCCAGTTTTCTAAAGGATATAAATTTTTCTCAGAGCAAAGGTAGACTTAATGCTGTCCTTCCTTTGTAAAATGGATTTTATAACGTAATATACTTTAAGGTTCTAACAGTGAGTAGAATTTTCTGATAAAACCATAATAAGGCGTAGTAAAATAGACATAATGTACAGCGAAACCAAAATATCCAATCGAAATTACATCCTTATTTCGAGACAATTCTCTGCCCGTGTCTTCCTGTGAAAGAACACTCGTTTGCTTCATTTTCATTTACGCGATAACAGCACTCGCTAAAGCGGGATTATCCCACCGAGACGTCGGCACGTAAAATCCAAAGTACCTTTCGGGAAACTGGTTATTCCGAGATGAACGTCTTTCTCCGCGCGCTATCTGTTACAGATTATCCTTTTCTCAACGCCGGGCGACTCTCGACGTCAGAGACACAGCTCCGCGGCAGAGTTAAAATCTCTGACGCGTGCGAGAGTGGCCCAATATGACTCGCAACACATTCCCGGAAAGTCCCGGCGATTACTCCGAGCCGATCTGACGTAGCCATGGCGACGGCACAGTGCGTCGGGGAAAAGTGTTCGTTTCCGTTCGACTTCTTGCCGAGGAGCACGGCAATAAAAGAGAAGAGGAACAAAGAGGAAGGAGGTGGTTACTGTAGCACGCGAGTAGCAGGAAAGAGGGAAATCCGACCGAGCGAGAGTCCTCGGAGAGTCCGACCGCTCTTAGCGCGACTTCATCCCTCTTTTCTGCCCTCGGCTGAAGGGAAATGACTTTCTTCGAGCACATGCCGTCCCCGCTTTCCTCACATTCTTATGTCGAACCGTTTTAAGATCATTATCGACTCTGCATACCAGGCTTAACATTTCCCGCTCGGCGGGATTTACCGTCCGATACCAGCGACGATAAAATCTTCAAGAGTCGGAAAATTACACGGGCGGCAGCTCTAGTGCATTATTCACGGTGTTACTTTGTCGATTTAGTCGCAATTCAATTGCAATGACAAATGCAATCAATATGTTGTACGATAAATAACCCTGTTTCGATAAATAATATCACAAACGTTCCTTAAGGATGTATCTGAGATACAATCATTGACAAAAATCCCCCAAATTCGAAAAACTGGCATATCTACGCTAAACGTGCTACGTAAACCTAGTGATAACTGATATAAATGATAACTAACATAATATATTTATTTTTAAAAAGTTATTTTTCACATTTTTCAGCACTTTATTAGGTTTATTTGCCATTTTACAACTTTTTACAATAAAACTTTTGGCAGTGAAAATGCCCAGAATGAAGTTGCCGCACTTCTACAGTCCAGTAATTGACATATTACAGAAACCGCAAAATTATCATGAATAATAATTAATTTCTCCTAAACCGTGTTGTGAAACCTAATCGAATTTTGCACAAAGTTCCAATAATCCATGGTCTATATGTATAAAAAAAATTAAAATTTTGGTACTATTTTTTCTATACTTTATTACTCATTTCATTCAAGAAAATTGCGTTTCCCATAAGAACACATGTAAAATCAGACATAATTGAAATAATAATTACTCTCTAACGATTTAGTAAATCTACTTAAAATTTTTTTCAGTATATTACAGATAACAAAGGAAGTGTTTCCCGAAGTTTCATCAATGTGGTACTATTTTGAAATAGCTCAGATACATCCTTAACATTACGCGTTCATAAACAAGTTTTCATTTAGACAACCGTGGCGTTTCTCTCTTATAAGATTAGACATTCCATAAAATTGTCTAGCCACGAAAGACACGAAGTCCATGAGACGGTCCTTCCCTCGATTAAAGCAATTTTCGCAGCTATTACAAAAGGAATAATGAAGAGAAAATCGTGTACAAGATTCGACGTCAGAATTGCTTTTATGTCCAATTTTCACGGGGAATAGCCTTCGTCTACCGCATTATTGTGAAAGAACAGCTGTTTTCGTTTCTAAAGTTCCTTTCTAGATCACGATCAGATTGCTCAAGACCTCGTGTGAGCAACGCCGGCGAGCATTAAGCGTTTCTTTCTGAGGTCGTGACAGGTGGTGTAGGATTGAAAACCAGGATCGCGCTTATCCGGAGCAGGTAATTAGATCTATCGCTTGAATGCTACCTTGATTTCGTACTTGTAATCAAATGACGTCGCTTTAAACAGCAACGCCCTAATTTTGCCTTCAAGACGCTTCAATCTCGTCTTCTTAAACGCAATCTACGACGCCGTCGTCTTGAAAGACGTTAATTAAGAACTGCAAAATGCACTTCAGCAACAGCTCGCTCGAAACAACGAATTAATAATCAAGTAAAACGACGATCTTACGAAACCCCATAGTAATTAATTTACTATTAAAACTGTTGGCTTTTTCTAACGGTTTCGTCAGTTTAACAAATCTCTCGCGCACGCGTGCGTAAAATTGAATAACATCCTTTGCGCGAAATTATCGATACTTCAAAAACGCAGAACTGCAGTTCCGAAAGCTGTTTCTCCTCCATTTAGAGAGATCAATTACCTATTCAATTACCAGCCCGGTCCTCGGCGTAGCGTCAAACGAGCGGATAATTGCGCGGGTGGGCAAGTAAAACTAAATTGCACTTCCTGTCACTGCCAGCAGCAAAAGTTAACACGCCGCGACCACCTACGCGCCGCTGACCGAGTGACCGGCTGCTATCGATCGCGTATCCGTTATCGATCTTTGACCATGGCACATTCGCGACATGGTCGCGATTGGTCGGACGGCATCACTGGTGAACGCCGAAGAAGTGGGGAGTTACATAAAGCGCGACGCGACGCGGGTGCAGCGGCAATTCGTCGCGGGGCACCGGTAGTGCCGCACTCCACCCGCGCGCGGGATCATCACGGACACGTGGATATCGTCGCTGTCAAGGACTGCTCAGTGGCTCTCGTCAGATTAGCGGGGCGCGCGCGAATTTACTTGAAACGTGAGTCGAATTTCAATTCAATTTTCGTTACGAAAGCATATTTATGCCACTTTAGAATGAACATTGTTCAACAGTGGAACATTATTCGCTATTATTGTGTTGGTATGTTCCAAGTATCGAAGGCAGCCTGTAACGAGGAAGTTAACGAGAGGAAAATTTGTTGGATAATTTAATAAACGTTGCCGGTTACTCTCACCGATAATTTTCACGCTGCTGTGCATGAATGACGGCCTGTAAATTGCAATGACGCGTCGTATATTATTGTACGGCCCGGTTTCACCAACGTTGTTTAACTTTAAGCTTAGCTTAATTCGTTCTTTGTCTCTTTCTAAAGTAACAGTTGAAAAGAGACAAGGAACGAATTGAACTAAGCTTAAAGTTAAGCGACGTTGGTGAAACCGGGCCTAAGAGATGTAATTTAAAACTGAAAGTTAAAATAAGAAACGATGCTACTTGAGTAAGCGTGAAAGTCCTAGAATTATATAGAACATGCCTAATACAGCCACAGAAAACATTTACGAGTCCAATGCTATTGCACTTCAATGTATCATAAAATAGGATCGATGTAGCGCCAATCGTATTTATTGTAGAGAAAGGCATATTTTAATCTTCAATGAAAATAAAACGATAGTATGTATCGTCCTTTGTCGAATATCGCGGTGCCAACTTCGTGCGTTGTAAGATAAACGCAAGAATATATAAACTTACATTTGTATAAGTTACTCGTGTCTCAATATAGTAAGTCAAGCTTTTTTAATTCGACAGGAGAATAAGAATTTATTATATTAATTCGAGAGGAGAATAAGAATTATTGATTTTGTCTTGATATCGACTTATCTTTATACTAAACGAGGTTGTGAGAAATAGAAATGCGTCAAGAATATTTTTTGCCTCGGTAACAGAAATCCTTTCTGAGGGTGTAACTGTGATAATTACAGCAATTTATAAGTTCATAAGAAAATTCCTTTACAACAATAGGCAATGTAGTACGAGTACATTTTAGTGTGTTTCATAAGCAGCTGAGTGACTTCGAAACCAAGATTGTTTAGGATCTCGAAGGTCCTATAACTGATGTCAGGGAGTGAACTTTAATAGCGCTTGTTAGTCTCTAAACGCGAAGAGGGTGTCTAAAACTAATTATTAAGCTTCCGCCCCGATATAGTCCGACCGAAGAGCCCGCTAATTGCATCAGCTCGTCGAATTAATCTGTCGCGCTCTTCAAAAACGGCGACGAAACTGCAGAAGAAAAGGTCGCGCGGTATTCCGAGGCTATTTAGTATTCGCGAGCCATTTTTAGCATATCGGCGTACTAAAAATAGAAATTACCGTACGAATAAGAGCAACGTTTTCGACGCGCGCTATATTTGAGATTCACATAAAATTAGCGCGCGGCTATCCATCTCGGTTTGTTTCATTCACTCTCGCACAGTGCATTTGCAGAATGCGAGACTTTTATACAAGATTATCTTGACTCGATAAGTTAACGTTATCTTTTCCTTATCCAGAAATCATTGTTAATGTAATTATTGTTATCTATGCACTCTTATCGTCTCATCAGGTCGTTTCTGTTAGGTTCACGTAACGTCCAAGTGAGCGATAATATCATATTCAATTAATTATTCAAAACAATTCAATAACATTAAGTAACACGAAAACTGTAAGCTTTCGCCGAGGGGTAAACCGCTGACCAAAATCATGCACACCAATGCTCACTGGTGCCTATTATTTTATCTTATTTTACAATGCTCCACACGGAAAGAAAAATGTAGTTGCCGTAGCTAAAAACTGCTTGTGGCAACTAAATTTCAGTTGTAAAATATGGACAGCTAATATTTAGTTGTGATAGCTAAATATTTTGCTACTGTGCCTATTGTATTAGATGCGGTAGCGAACCGTTTGCTGTGGTTTAGAAATTTATAGTTACGACAGCAAAATATTTCAAGCAAACCATGATTAGTTATAGTAGCGAAAATTTTCTTTTCAGTGCAGCAAGGCCTGATGCCCAAACTATGCCCAAAAACGCCTAGTAATGCCCAACTAATTGATTTATTTTACATTTTCGACAATACTTGACAAAATGAGTGCTAAAACATAGCGTCTAGGTTGACATTTGACTTAAATGTCTGTTGTAGGTTTATTAAAATTAGATAATTTAAATTAATTAAATAAATAACAATTAAAATACATTTGGCTTAAAATTCTCTTGTGCAATTGAATAGAACAAGCTGGTGGACATTTCATGTTATCACGAAACACGCGACAGCAGATGCTTCTGCAGCGCAACATCAATCTTTACATACCTGACTGAGTTATCGTTTTATATACACGGCGCGAGATATAAAAGTCAATGGATAAAAGTTTTTAATGAATTATTTTCTAATAAATAAGAGACACGATTCAATTAAATTATAAGCTCCGCGGCGATTCGAATAAGTAAATCGCGATGGTTTTACGATAACCCGGATCATAAACAGCTCAATGTTGCGCGATTATCTCTAATTATTGATGAGAGAAGCGCGTATACGCGCTTGCCTCATCAATATTCATATACTTTTCTTTCGAGAAATATTCTCTGATAACAGCGCACAAAGAGGGGACTCCCTGACCGCCGCGAGAGTTTCCTGCATCGCGTGAGGTGTCATTCGTCTCTCCCCACGTATCTCTGCTTTCCGCCTTTCCTCGTGTGCCAAGACATTGCGAAAGCGCAATTAAGTATTATTTTTAAAACAGAGTATCCCCGAGATGAGTGCAACGATATTAATCATGCTTCACTTTCCCATGTCTTTCAGTTCTTCGCAAGGTAATTTTGTTTGTGAGCAAACTTTTAATTATTAAGTTTAATGTTATCATTTCCGGATCTAAAATAAAGAGAATTCAAGTTAAAGCAACCTTATGTGAACGGACACAGTATAGTCTCCTAAATTAGTGATTCACAGGTTTTCATAGTTAAAATGTTCGTGATAGACGAATAGCGACATATACGTCGCTTTACCTTTCATATCAGTCGACAAGGTATTACCTTAAAAGAAACGATTTAATATTATGGTTTGATGTTTTAAGAGCAATGGTATTCCGTGAGATAAAAATCTGCATAGATATCCAACTGGTTACGTGCCAGTCGCGCATGACAAAATTTAACTTGCACCTTTTTGCCGCGATCGTTCCCTCAAGAATCGGCGTTGCGATATTCCGCGGGTTCGTTATAGCGAATGGGTGGAAATTCGTAACAAACAAAATCGCGCGACACGATAGACGGGCGGCGGCAAACGGCGATTCGAAACCAGCTCCGTGAAAATGAGTCATGGTCATAACGGCGCGAGTTCACTCTTACTTCTCTGCGCGAAGGTGATTTTGCTGATCGTCACGCTCGCTCCTTCGATCTCGTTGTCCTTCTCCTTCCACTCTCGATCGCGTGGACATTCTATCCGATAGCGTAAACACATATGCATCTCCATCGCCTTCCCGCTGCCGAGTTTCTCAAGAAATCTACGTCATTAGCTCTACGTCGTCAATTACCGACGCCGAGGATTAAATTTCCCTCGAAAGGCCACGTATTTACGTATATTAATATATGTTTTTGTCATTTGCAATTCTTTTTTACGAAAAAGATAGCAAGCAGGATGTTTAAACTGACGCAGGTAGCGGTGCTATCCTGTTTACACGGTGAAGCTTATCAACTTCTTTATTCAACATTAATGCATTAACAACAATGTTATAAAACAACGAAAGAAGTTACGGATCTTATTAATTCCCTCTTAAAAGCAGAACGATGTTAATGAAAACGAAATTATTAGCCTCGCCAATAATCTAGATCGCTAAAAGAATTGCTAATCGCTTGTAATACAATATACTATATTTAACAAAAAGTTATGTTAAAAAATGTAATAGCTCTTATCTTTTTAGAGACATAATTGGGGCAATAAATTATTAATTTTAACTCCGTTAACTTATTACAATTATATTAAGTTTAACATATGCTTATGCAATTTTCTGATATTATCTTTATGTAATTTCTGCATTTCAACTCTTTTAATTCTCGTTGCAATGCCTTTCTCTTTTTATCAGAAATCGTCGTTTTTTAACGCGCATCCTTGAGTCTAGCAAAACAATTCCAACCGCTTCACACGCTTTCTATAAACTATCACGGTCATCGTCGGATAGCAAGATCCTTGTAGTATCATTTGCATCAGTTACGCAATATGGAATCACGGAAATGGATTGCTATCATTTTCTGTTCTGATAAGCACTCACAATTAGTCTTGAAAGAAAAACCTATATGTGTGACATACGTACATTAATTTAAAACGCACGTGCACTGATATACCAAGGATACGGAACCGCACCTACTCCCCTTCCGTTCATAGGGTACACAAATGTGTATCTCAAATTAAAAATAGAATTTTTTCGCCGAAAGCCGTATATATTTTTGGGACAATTTTCTACACAGCATATGTGTACAGGTCTCCATTTTCAACGTCTTCTGTGATTTGGTGGTTTAATAAAGAACATTTAACTTTATGTCAAGTAGAAACATACAGTTCTGTACAGATTTCTCTTTCGAATTTTGGTTTGAATTATATGTTGGAATTTCCCAGGAGCAATAATTTTTCTAACCCAGTTGAAGGCTGTGTCTCGATGCCCCGGTAATTATTTACTTGTAGTACAGATAAATAACATGCGATTAGCTCACACAAATGTGTACCTTCTATAACTCGAAAAGAGCAATACGCAGCACAATTTGGTTTCCATGAAAGATCAGAGAAAAAAATCATTGCGCAAATGCGAGATTTCAGAATTTTCGGCTGACACGCAACAATGCGCGAGCAAAAGGATTAATGCACAACGGCATGATCGAAGAGACATTTTCTTACACCGTTACATTTTCGTGATAATTTTATCTCGATATTACAGGTAGAAAGAAGACAAATCATGGATCCCGATAACTTCAAGGATTACGCCAATGATATGGCGGAATACATCACAAATTATTTGGAAAATATTAGAGACAGGTAGGTGGTAACATGTGCGGTAATCGAAAAATCGATTAATCGGTGAATCTGCATTAAATAATAATCTATGTACAGTAGGAATCACTGATGCCTTCCCACATTCGTGCACATATCGACACATTTATACATTTTGCATATACATACATGAAGAATACATGTGTTTTACATGTGCCTTTTATGTGGAAAGGCACCAGTGATTCCTAGTGTACAGTAGAGTCCCGATTATTAATCAAAGACTCGGATAAATTGGAAAGGAAAGTTGAAAAGACATACAAACATTACTTACGGTGAAACCACTGTATTTGTTTATCGTTCCCGTCATTCCCCTCTTGCCGTGCGGTGAACTCTGCCCCGAAATGTGCAGTTGACTTCCAGACCTGATTTCAAAATAAATCCATTTTCATAATCTTTTCACGTAAGGATATTATTAAGACGTTTACATTATTAAATTAAAATTGTTAATTCAAAAAACCTTACAGATTTAAGCTTTCATTTTCGACAGTAAAAAAGTTAAATAAAAAAAATTGCGATTTGGATAATCGGAACTCTACTATGTATTAGGTGGTAAACTTAGTTTCCGCGGTGTTTTCTGTTTAACAAACTCATTTATTTCGATATCAAAAGCAAAAGACACATCAATCAAAGTATTTGCCCTCGCTAGCTATACATTTTTCCCATCATTACACTTACAACTAGCGTCATCTAAATGTGAGCTGCGGAAAACTAAGCTTACCACCTAGTATATTATTTTTTGTACCATTCATATTAATGTGTCTCTAGTGTTTGCTGTTATCTAAATAAAATTATATAGATGATTATCTAGATAAAATTTTAGCATTATCTTATCTTTATATAGATAATAAAAATAAGTATTATCTATATCTGCATCTTAGATGAAAGAAAGTGTTATCTTTACTAAATTATCTAAGATAACGTACAGATAATTTGGTTTAGGGCCACATACAAATACTTAACAGTTACACTATTTAAATATGGATGGCGTTGTAGACCATGCATTTATGGCTGCGTTCGGGGAGACGCTATTTAGCGCTAGGAGCGTGCTCTGTCCTTGTTGCTTGCAAAAGTTGAACAAGGACAGAGCATGCTCGTAGCGCTAAATAGCATCTCCCCGAACGCAGCCTATGTGTGTGTCATATAACTTAACCTGAATATATTCTATATCCCCCTTTATAATTTATATTTTTCTATAATTTTTTATAACTTTTTCCACTGTGTTTAGATGAAGTCTTAAAGATATTATCTGAAAATTATCTAGATGAATCATCATATACTTTTATCTTTTATCTAGATACATTCAAAACGAAATCATCTTTATCTTATCTAAGATACATTTATATATTTTTATCTTATCTTTATCTAGCTAATTGTAAAATCATCTATGCACAACACTGTGTGTCTCGTACATGAAACTATGAAACATTTCCAGGAGAGTCCTGCCTACGGTGGAGCCAGGATACATGAAACCCCTCTTGCCATCCGAAGCACCACAAACCCCTGAACAGTGGAAGGACATCATGGCCGATATCGAAAGAGTAATAATGCCAGGCGTAAGTAATTTTTAACTACCTCAATCGATCGTAAATCACCGATCTAGCAAGCCAACTACATACAATAATGACTGACCCGCGCATCGCGAAACATATAATGATGCTGCAGTTGAAAAGTTAAAGTACTTTTTCGACTGTATAGGCAAGAAATAAATGAAGCTAAAATTGTTTTAGGTCACGCATTGGCACAGTCCAAAATTCCACGCATACTTTCCCACCGCGCAATCGTATCCCGCGATTCTAGCCGATATGTTAAGCGGTGCTATTGCGTGCATTGGATTCACGTGGGTAAGTGCATAAAATATGTGAATGTTTTATTCATCTCGATTGCCACAAGATCCGCATTCATGTTTTGCAGTATAATTATCAAGTTTATAAAAAATCCTTACCTACTTGTATTTTTACGAATAATAAAATCTCTTTCCGCAATAGATAAAAATCGAAGCTAATAACAATATCGAAATCTCATCATTAAAAATAAAACTGTATTAACAACATCAGTGTTTTCTTGACCGCATCTGGCAATTTTTATAATAAAAAGTATTACCTCAAAGGTAACATTTCTCGCGATAAATTTTCTGTATTATTAAAATTGCCAGATACGGTCAAGAAAACACTGATGTTGTTAATTACTGCTGGCGACATTTAAGAATATTCTTATTAGTTAAAATGTATTAATTTAAAAAAATTAAAAATTACCTAATTCAAGAAAATGTATCGAACACCGGGATTAAAATATTAAAGGCCACACTATTCTCTCAGTCACTTATGGTATCAAATTTCCCGAATTCTAGATCGCGAGTCCAGCTTGCACCGAACTAGAAGTGATCGTACTAGATTGGCTGGGAAAAATGCTGGACTTGCCGAAAGAATTTCTTGCCTGCAGCGGTGGAAAAGGCGGTGGCGTCATTCAGGTAAACGACATTTTACAAATAGCATTACATTTACAAAAGATACCTGAATATCTAGGGAATAGTTTCGCGTGGGAGTGTAACATTTCTAAAGAGGAATAAGCGAATTTAGGATGAAATTCAAGATATATTTTTATTCACAGGGCACTGCCAGCGAAGCCACTTTGGTAGCGTTACTAGGAGCGAAGGCTAAAAGGATCAAGCAAGTTAAAGAAGAGCATCCCGATTGGACGGAAAACGAGATTGTCGGCAAACTAATCGCATACTGTTCTTGTGAGTATACTGTAATTACTTTGCTACAGAATCTGTCACTTATATGTGTACGAAAATTAGAGCTCAGTAACGTCAAAGCGGAAACGAAATTCGTTGCTTATTCAAACAAAGTTTCCAGTCAAAATTGAATTCATAAGTTATATGCAGAGTATCGAGTCGTATAAATTGTTCCTCAATCAATTCCTGTCTGTTTTTATCGAGCAAGAAAGCAGCGCACAACAGTGAGCGTCAAGTGTATGACAGTTCAATGACTTTAAATAAACACTTGAACTATGACATATATCTCGATGAGCGTTAAATGATCTGTGACAGTCGCAATTAGGCTTTATATAGAAACAGAATGGAGAAAAAAACAAAAGCTTAAAAGTGTCATTGCAATGATCATTTAATTTAATCTAATATAATATTTTACATAGATATATATTATTCATATTTGAGATATTATAATCTATTATTAATTTTTAAATATATATATATTATTTTAGCAAATAAAAAGCTTTGTAGAGCAGCATTAGTAGAAAATATTAGTAACATTGTGAAAAAAGTTTCAATTATTGAAACAATGTTTTTGAAACGCTACATTAATATAATATTCACTCTCTTATCTGAATGTAATACAATAGAAGCAATAAATTTATTAAGTTACTTGCGAATTGCTATTTGTTTCGCATACTAACAAATAACTTTTTAATGTATTTATTATGCAATAGTAATTGAAAAGTTAAGTACAACGTATAACTGGTTTAACACGGCATAATTTTTCATTCGTATTCATCGCACTACTCCGGGACGCATATAACGCGGAAAAGTGTCCGGTCGCTTTCAGTGACCGGGCGCAATCAGTGCGAAGGCATGTGAATAGAGGGGTTGAGGGGGATGGAGTGATAGGGTGAGCATGGGGTTCGCGGCACTTCATCAAGCAGCACTTTGTCGCCATGGCAACTCGTAATAACCGCTCCAGTCATATTTCAGACCGAACTTTCTCTGCTATTCTCAACGCCCATAATAATTTCGACGCGCTTTATCGAAATGGGGGGAAAAAAAAAGAAAAATTTGCTAGAACCCTTGTTCGATACGAACAATGACTTTGATGTTTTTTTCTTCGATTAGGAATATCAAACGAAACATTATGAATTGTGTCGCAATTGTTCTGAGAGAATGGAAAATTTTTTTATATTCTCTCTGTTCTGCGACCGCGATTGAAAATGAGACCGAATTTCGTCGATATCCGTAACAGAGATTCTCTCCTCTTCAAATATTTCACGAGATATTACATATATTGCGAAACAAAAATAAAATATGTGTTAAAGAAATAAAGATGTCAAAATTGTCAAGATTAATGAAATCTATATTCATTCTTATGCTACATAATCCATCGAGTTTTACAAGCTACTACATATCTAGGTAAATGCTAAATATTGGCATCGCATAAATTATTGTTAAGGTTAATATTGCTAATATGCAGTACCAAAGGAGTATATGCTAGTATCTCAAATCGATATTGTTCGAGATTTCTCGAAGTCCGAACAATACAGGGTGTCTGATGCAAAAGTAGCCACTTTGCAAATAGCGGTAGATTGGGTTAAACTAAGGAGAAATATCATGTACCGAGGTACAAAGTAACAATAGTTACCGACAAAGAAATTTATACGTTTGAGCGAATGAGGATGCAGGAGACGGTGGGCGGGAGGCGGGAGGCATGTAAGAAAGCCGATCGGTGAGCGGGAGGGGGAGCGACGCGCGGGATACTATGTTTATGTGGTGGG